GTGGGATTTTTAGATTAATTCCTAAAAGCTTCGGCATGAATGATGAAGTGTTTGATGTTGGCAAACATGTATGACACCCGTGAAGATCCGGGGTAGAATAGGTCTTCAGCAACCCCTGCTTGCTGTAAAAGGCGACTATGCATGTCGTAAGAGGCGACTAACGGGATCGGGTGGTCAGGCTCGCTGACTTGGTTGATGCATGTCATCGATCCCAATTGCGTGGATCGATGTTCATGGTATCAATCACTGGATTGTCTGATCCAGACTCAATTATTTTAAGACCGCCGTCATATAGCTGGAATATTGCTGAGGGCGGCGTTAAACAACAAACAAACATATGTCTGAAAAAGGAGTGCGTCAGACTGATTGGACGCGAGATGTGTATGTTACAGTGTGTTCGAAGTATCGATTAGAACTATATTATTATACTCACTCGTTATCCATTCAGTGTTTGTTGACACCCACCAATGCATTGTCATTAGGAAACAGGGTCGTCATGGACAACCTCAGACAAATAACCTCAAGATTTGAATCACTTGATTGCAGCATAGAGAAGAAGTTGATTTAGGAGGACGATGGCTAAAGCATCGGTGTGTGTGCTGATTGCTACTGTGCTCAGTGCTACAGGTTTGTTTCTCTTTATGTTTATGTTTAGTGTGTTTATTTATACCGTCACCATCCACTACATGTTTCAGTTCATATGTCGTTATTCTATAAAGAAGGCGATCTGGGGATAGAAGGATAATTATAATGTCTCTTTAAGGTTTCTATCAGATTACCGGAAGTGAGTGAGTGAGTTGGGTTTAACGCCGCTCTTAACAATATTCCAGTTATATCACGGCGTGAGATTACCGGTAGTATCTCAAAACTATCTATATGTATATATCTATATTGCTTGTTTTAATGTCGAACAGATCACAGTTCGGTGTTTAGAAAACCTGAAAGAAATATTCGAAACCCTCGGTGCCTCATACATAGCTGCATTAGGGCTAAACTATAAGTTTCATCCAACTGTTTAACCATTTCCACTGATTGAGGTTTTCAAAACTTCATGCAAGTACGACCAATTTTGATACCATCCAACCTTATTTAACGGGCGGATTGATGGGTGGCTCAGTCGTCAAAGGCGCCGCAACTCGCCGTGCAGAGTTGCGTCCCTTGGGCGCACCAGAAACATCTGATTGTGGGTTCGAATCCCGGTTCGCCCCGATAATGTTTCTAGGTTTGTCAGCACCATACCCGTGCTCGTGCGTTGCAACAAAGTGGTAAACTTCGAACTTTCCTCCCACATTGTAACTGGAATACTCTTCGAAGCGGCGTTGAACCCAGCTTACTCACTAACTCATTATTTAACACACAGACAGAGAGACGAAAGGCCTCATATAACACAAGCCACAGGCTTGTTTCGGGACGTTAAAGTCTAATATTTCTTAAAATTGTTTTTCAACAACCACATTCTCTTGATCCAGGTTTGGATCTGCCGAACCTTGCGCAAAACAAGCCCACAGAACGAAGCTCAGTATATAAAGCATGGACATCTGATTTGGCTGCTGACGGCCAAAACGGCACTGACAGTGAAGCCAGACAATGTGCCCATGTGGCGGAAGCAAAGGGTGTGGTAGAGTGGTGGCAAGTAGACCTCCAGCAGACCTTCTCGGTCCTAACTGTCTCCGTCACCAACAGGGGGGACTGTTGCCGTAAGTGAAATAAACAATAATATCTATTATCGTAGATCGCATGTATAGTGAGGCTGAAACACGAACTAAAACTCAAATTAAACACACGCGCACACGCGCACGTACGCACAGACAGACAGACACACACACACGTATTTAATTCCGCGTCTGACATTTCTGAGCGCTAAGACGTCTTTGAAGATGTTTCACCGTTTTCTGTACTTTTCTTTGAACGCTCACCTTTACGCATGAATGTGTGTCTTGCATTGGGTGTTAGCAGGTTGTTAGTCTTTTTAATTTACTGTTTGGTTTTTAGATTCAATACTTAAAATGATCTTAATTATTGAAGTACCTGCAACAACTTTCCACAGACGCAGGGAACACAAACTGGTTACTGCTTATATTTTATGTCCGACTAATATACAATAATATCACACTTTCATCACGTCATCAAGGAGGAGGATCCGGCCAAATTGTTACATTCATCTATGGCTATCATACGCAGCAAACCATTCGATCACATGTAACTTCCAGGCAAACCAAACTAACTTCAGTCATTACTTTATATACATAATATAATATACTAGATTTGAAGGTGATATGAATAATAATACAGTTAATCTGAATCCGAAAGGTATGACGTTCAGTTAAATTCTGTCATAAGCATGCATCTAGAATGCGACAACAGAGTATTGATATAGGAAACATGTACTCTCACTCACATAATATAATATAATCCCAATTGCGTGGATCGATGCTTATGATGTCAATCACTGGATTGTCTGGTCCAGACTCAATTATTTACAGACCGCCGTCATATAGCTGGGATATTGCTGAGTGCGGCGTTAAACAACAAACCAACTAAGGAATGTGGTAAATGAATGGCTACATAGACCATGTAAAATTACTATTATTTGGAAGGTTCTATAATAACGATTGGAACTCAATAACAAAAGGTGAGATGAGGTTAGGTGAAATGGGGTTTAACGCCGCGTCCAAGATTATTGCACTTATATAGCGACGTCCATGTACGTGTGTGTGTTTGTGTGGCTGCTTGTACTTGTCCGGACTGATGCCGATTTATAGTGCTAGCTATGATGACACTTATATAGCGACGTGCATGTACGTGTGTGTGTTTGTGTGGCTGCTTGTACCAGTCAGGACTGATGCCGACTTATAGTGCTAGCTCACTGAGATACCATGCCGCAGTTTAACATGAATACCCCACTCAGACACAGTATATTGACCCCGAGCCGACCAGTCCTTGTTTTAGCCCCTCAATTCCCAGCGCCAGACAGGATAACAACAAGTACCATCTTTTAACGTCTTGACGCGGCCGGGAATCGAACCCCGGACCTTCCGCTCTCCGGGCGGACGCTCAACCACTAGACCACGGAGGCGGTTCAATAACAAAAGGGTCTATTTTGTGCTCACATTGCTACCAACGTTATTGTCAATATTAGCCGCCCAGCAATCATATGCAACATCATTATATACTGCTAAACAATGTTATAAGACAACTATATCAAAGAGTATAGTGATAGTGGTTCATTCCCAACTAAGTCGGCTGGGCCAGCTATTGTAATCAGACGTCTATAACCAGCCTAACCTATTTGCTACAGCTCCTCACTTCTTCTTTTTCCACATAAACACCATTTAGGTCTATGCACTTTGTCCAGCGATGTGTGATAGCTGCTGCTACGTGAATCAGTGGAATAAAACTTTAGCATTTTATTATCATGTTGGTAGACTCATATCAACCGAAGTATATATCGATTTATCCTGACTTGATATATAATCGAAGTTATATTTACTAAGATGTTTCAGAACAGGGAGGGGAAAAGTCACACGCAAACTTCATAGTCAAAATACTTCAAATAGAAAGCGTGTATGTTTTGTTCATAAAAAACATATTTGACTGTTTGTAGCTTCATACACTGTAATTACAAAACATGTTAAATAGCTTTGACTATCATATCTGACTCATTCGTATGAAATGTATGACCATTACGGTAAATTAGCCCTAGTAAATACAGAAAAAGAGTCAACAATTGCTAACAATACTGGACCAATGGCCCATTAAGGAGTCAATTGGATTCTAGCCCATTCACTTGTGGTTAAGGAAGTCCGGGTTTGGCAAGAGACAACAAGATTACAAGTCTTCACGAAACCTATCTGTTCAATGAAGGAGAAACAGATCTTTGTTTACTGGATAAACAGATGACCCTTGTTCAGTTATATAACTAATTAAAATAATGCAATTATGGCTGCCCATGGCTTCGAGGTTTTTGTTTTGTGCTTAACAAATATATATGAATATATATGTGTATGCTGCTTATTTTGGTGTGTCTTTAATAATGCGCTTGGACAACCTAGATGTCTAACGAGTGATACATGACTACACAGGTGCGTGAGGACCTACTCACGCTTGCTGATAGATACAAATTAACCCTTATCATGATGATTTGTTTTGTTTATAAAAACTGACGTCCAAAAGAAACTTTACCAGAGTTTGAAATCACTCTTGCTCAAAAACAACAAAACATACATGTATGAAGTAAAGTGTATTGAGAAGATCAATATATCAACATAATCAACAGTGAAAATGACAATTATACCGCGACCGAGAATGACGTCAGAGCCCCCCAAAGTTGGGTGTGGTACAAAACTCGAGCTTTCAGAATCATGGACAATAGGCAGAGTACATAAACAATCGCTCACTTTCAATAACAAGTCATTAGTAGCATGTGTGACCACCAGTTCTTGCCAGTTGGCTGGAGAGTGTGGTCGTTGTCGAACACGACGATCCATCAAGTCCCAGAGGTGTTCTATGGGGGACATGTCGGGTGAGCGTGCAGGCCACGGCAGGACGTTGACGTTGTTGGCTGCGAGGAAGTGACAATTCTGGCTGCATGGGCTCTGGTGTTGTGTCATGCTGATAAATGACACCACGTGGCTACTGTTGGAGAAATGGTAGGACAACTGGACGAAGAATGTTATCCATGTAACGCTGAGCTGTCAAGTTTCTGTCAACGATGACCAGCGGTGTCCTCTCCTGCCCACAGATCCCTCCCAACACCATGACACTTCCTCCACCATATGGTACGACCTCCTGCACCACTTCGGCGGTAAACACGTTGTCTTCCATCAGCCCTAAACATACAGAATCGACTTTCGTCAGTGAAGACAACCCTCTGCCAGATACGTCGTTGCCAACGTCGTACAGTGCGGGCCCATCTCAATCGCAGACGACGATGTTGCGCTGTCAATAGCTGTCCTCTGTATGGTCTAAAAGCCCTGATTCCATGAACCCTGAGTCTCCTGGCCACTGTCTGTCGACTAATCCTGTGACCTAAGGCATTTGTCGCCGATGACGTCACTGTCAGGAAGCGATTTCGGAGGTGCAAGGTACGCAAGTACCGGTCATCATGGGGCGTGGTCACCTTGGGTCTGCCTGTTCTTGGCCTGTCAGCGGTCCGCCCTGTCTGTCTGTAACGTTGCATCAAGTTGGTAACGGCAACACGGGAGCAACCGAAGGTTCGTGCAATATGGGCGTGGGTGGCTCCCATCTGTACCATACCCAAGGCTCGTTCACGTTGTTCGACTGTGAGTCGTGGCATTTCTTTTATCACTGTGGATGTCTGACTTGACGTTGCAATCGTTTTATACCCTTACCCGCACGTGCATTTGCAGTTGTCCGTGGTGCACGTGTTTTTCACCTTTTCGCGTTTTATCTCGCAAACAAGTAACAGACGATTAACATTTTCTGCATACACTATTGTTGTATTTAGGTTATGTGTTTTAGATGGACTTCATCGAAAAAAAATTATACGTTGTCTGAATTTATATTTTCAGTTGGTAAAGTTTCTTTTGGACGTCAGTTTACCAGCATTGTATCCATTTCACACACACCAAGACCATACACTTACAATAGTACATGAATGTTCCTGGGTTATTTTTGTACTTACACTTAATCAGCAATATTGATGCTATTCACGTATATTACAGTATTTTAAACAATAGAGTTAACTTTCCTTTCTAAGACTATATTAGAGTGGCGATGTAGATGCAGCTTTTCTCCCAAGGGTGGACTAAAATCGACTTCGTTATTCCAAATGAAAGCTTTCATATTGTACGAGCCATATTCGCTCTGCACAGTTGGGTTTTTTAGACATACCAGACATCAATAACCATGGGTCGAAACATGCCCCGGTTTTGCTTATTGGTTTGTCAGCACTATACCCACAGTTGTGAATGTCTCCCACACGAGACAATAACTGTGACACTGACTGAGAAACCGTTAGCCCATTATGAACTTTTGCACTCTGTGTCACCATACACACATTGTTCTGGTTGTTGTGTATCGTTGCAGTATAAAACGATATATTTGTGACTACAACAGGAGTAGGTAATAGGCTATTTGGACTTGTACCACTATAATCCCGTTTACACCTGTTGTCAGCTTTGTTTGTTTGTTTGTTTAACGGCGCACCCAACAATATTCCACCTAGCTGGCGACGGTCTGTAAATAATCGAGTCTGGACCAGACAATCCACGCAATTTGGATACGATGACATGCATCAACCAGGTCAGCGAGCCTGACCACCCGATCCCGTTAGTTGCCTCTTACGACAAGCATAGTCACCTTTTACGGCAAGCATGGGTTGCTGAAGACCTATTCTATCCCGGATCTTCACGAGTCGATAAAAGGGTATCAGCATATGTGAAAATATAGTAACGTAAACCCAATATTTCAAATGTTGGAAACATACATCTTGTTTTAGTACCGGTAATATGATCATGTCAAAACTATTCAAACACGTACCCGTGATATCTGGAATGATACATAACATTCTGAGGCATGAAAACATTTGAAAATTAAACATTTACCAATGTTTTCCCACCAAAGGAAATGTCCATATTTCAAACCCTAGTAAACTTAGAAATGAGTCGGAAATTTCAGCACTCATTACAATTAAAAGGAATGCATTGCAAATACGGTTAATACGGTCGCAGCATTTATGACAATGGTGCTTGTGCATACGACTATACGCGGTGATCATACATTTCTAAAGTATATATAGCTTCATATGAAATAAACGCCCAAAGACAGCTTATATCGGGAAACATAAGCAAATCCGTCCATAGAATGCATTTCCTACTGTATTTGAGTTTATTTCAGTGGTGTAAAATCCGACTTTTGGTCCTGTTTTCTAGGCTAGTTTCTTTCTGATAGTAAATCCCTCAGCTCATTGAGTCTATACTGTGCACGATCTGAATTAAATACTATCGCGCGGACTCTACGTGATAATGAGTAAGGGACACTGTTTTTGTGTTTGAGGTATTTTTTAGAATCGGTTGATTTGTAAGATACATCTGTTCAATGTTACTGGATGATATTGTACCCATTACATCTAGTAACAAAATACTTTTATCTTTCATCGCTTAAGTAAACGTTGAACTTAGATGGAGTGTCTGTACAATATCTCTCAGACACTGTCAATCTTGTTCACTCCGATTCCAAGGATTAAAAAAACAATCATCTAAAAATCATTTTCCATATGTTTTGAAATCCCTGTCGAAATTCAATGCGAATTGTTCACCAAATGTTGAGTGCAATTTTTCCTCCAAATAGCCAAGTACAAGTGTTGCATAAGTAATATAAAAGTATTATTGTTAAGAATAAATCGATAATGGATTCCAAGGTAATGTCATGCTTGAACGGTGTTTAATTATCCAGTATTCAATACCTTTATGCCAAGATCATGAGGAATGTTTCAATATAAACTAACTGCATCAACACTGACTTACTGAGTAACATTTTCGACTGAGGCGGGAAGCTGGTTAAGAAAGTCTTTGGTATCTTTTATGTATCTTTTGACACGTTTGGTGATTGGTTTTAGCGCTTTATCCATAAGGTCACTGATTCTGTGTGGGGGACATTTGGGTGCAGCAATTATTGGTCGTAATCTTAAATCATATACAGGGGGTATTCTTGCAGAAGCAGAATTCAATATTTGACATTATTCTTGAATCTGTGCACTTATGAACTGGGAGGCCATAAAAATTACTTTCTTTTGATTCATAATTAACTAAATAATCCTCTTCGCTTTTAGTTAGGCATTAAGAATGTGAATGTACTTATCTTTTATGATTAAGTAATTCAGATTTCTCCGAACTGTCTGAAAGTTTCCTGTAACGAGATTCATCTTTTAAGACATCTAATTAGGGGCTTGGTAATAATTGTTGTCCATATTATAGCGCCCCCCTTATTAGCTTCTTTAATAACATTTTAATAATTTATTGAAAATATGTTCCGAGCCACTGGTTCATTTTTTTAAATGTTTCTTTTACCTCTTTATGGGTTTACAGTAAGGGTAATCTTGGAGGTGGTTAATAACTTTTCCAACACTTTGTTATTACCAGGTTTTGGAGTGAAGGTGATTTTGTGTTTTATAATGATAATAATCTTAATTTCTGGGATCAATATCAAAATGACTTTGGCATCTCAATTCTCTCAGTCTATGGTCAGATATTGGCGCATACTCAAATTTATGGCAGATAATCATACAATATTAAAAATTATCACATAATAATAACAATATCTATAGCGCTAAACGTCGCATACATTGTATATTCGTGTATAGCGGCAGATCAATATTTTGATTTCTCTATTTTTACCATTCCCCTTCCGGAACAGCATCGTCGGTGCAGGGACTGCATATCGGTACTTTTCTTGAAAACGTATATGACATATTTCCATCCGCACCATCATATCGTTTCCCGGAGTTGATAAAATCCTGAATATTTTCACTTCTTCCTCACTGGATTTTTGAAAATCATGTAAAATGATTCGGCATTGGGGTGTTTTGATAATGGTTTCTTCCTCTGTCTGCATGAATCCGCCAAAAGAAAACCGTGCCTTATTTGTTATGAGAATATTACTTGGGGACATGGGTACATGGGGATGAGTAATCGTTGGAAAGACGTAAACAAAATTTGTGTCATGATATGCGTAAATACCTTGACACAGTTTCCGTGTGACAAATTTATGTGTCAGGCTACAGGAGTAAACATATTACCATTAGGGAGGTTAAATATAACAAACGCACTCACAACGTTGTGGGTTTCAGTTTTAGCAACAACTGCATGTCTCCACAGATCTACTTCATTTTAAAGTAATACTACAGCAATGTAGCTATTAATTATTATGAATCATGTATACCATTATGATTGTTTAACTTAAAACCCCAAATTCATTAAAGACAAAACAAATGTTTCAGGAAGACATTGTTATGAAAACATATTCCTAGTTTTGTTTTCATATGTTTGTTTTCTACTTTTATATTACATAAATATTTAAACTGAATTGTGCCGTATTCCTATTCTGATTCGGAAGGTACCACATCCAATCCATTATATACTTCAGTGTGAAAGACTGAGTCGTCCAAAGTTGAGAAAAGTGATATTATCATAACACTTAATGTTTCACACTTAACACTTTGACGGTGCTATAGTCATACAAGAGTTACTTCCCCTCAACTTGTCTCCCTTTATCGTAAGTGTCTGGCCCGTACACAAAGTGTTGACCTTTTTACGTTAGTTCCAGGTTGATAAGGCAAAATAATGACAGATAGTAATTTATGGAGTTAATGTCGCTTCATGCCATTTGTTATTCTCTTGAAAATGTCTCGTTATAAACTGTAATTTTCTCAATTAACTCGTCAATCGAGGCTGTTCTTTTTGCAAAGCGCCATTTTTGTTACTTGACCAGCGTGTTTTCTTTCGCTTCCAACAGCTGTCTCGTACCTTTCAAGAATATTTTTGTTAAAGTTGATTTTGTATATAATCATATCTATTTGTATGATACAGAATTTTCGTGACCCTAAAATATATTTTGTTACTTTTGTTTATATTGTTTAAGATTTTGTAACCACGAAACTATTTCTTTAGTCGCAGAAGTGGTGAACCGTCCCTATGTGATAGGTAGGGAGAATATACGATTGAAGGTTTTTCATTTGTAATGAAATAATTCAATTTTCCGCTAGACAATTACACAAAAGGTATATAATAAATAGGATATTCCATGTCTTTTGAAACATCATGTTTCTCTCATCTCGTGACGGGGGAAATAGAGAATATTTCATGTGTCGAGTGAAATACCATGTGAAAAAACATGATTATTATAAGGACTCATGGAATATCCTGTTTATTATATATTTTTGTTACTTTTTCATATTTAAGATTTTTCAACCACGAAACTACTTTTTTAGTCGCAAATACCAGTGGTGGTGAGCCGTCCCTACGTGATAGGTCGGGAGAATTAACGTTTCAAGGCTACACATTTGCAATGAAATAATTAAATTTTCCGCTAGACAACTACACAAAAAGAAAATAATAAATAGCATATTCCATGTTTCTCTCATCTCGTGATGGGGGAAATAGTGGCTATTTCATGTCATATTACGCCACCCGTGAAAATATCTCGAAAGCAGAACCCTGTGTACGATTCCGACTGATGTGATGTTACTAGGTGTTCGCAGGAAGGTGAGCGTAAGCAACACCACCAGTGGCATCCGTCACAAACACCTGCAAAGGCGAATCAATCAAATTGTCACCTTAGCAAACACAGGAACATATAGCACGAATCAAAGTAGGGAATTGCATGAGACCTTGTTCTTGTCACTGATGTGTCCAGTTTGGATATGTCCTCCACATGTCTACCATAGAGCTTTTTGAGAGCCTTATTGATCTTGAGTTTTGCAACCTTGTTCAAACAACTTTTGAGCAAGAGTCGTATGACGCTCTTTGAAAACTTAGTAAAAAGAGCATGTTACATTATACCATAGGATTGTGAAATGTAAACACCAAAGGCAGGTAGTGCTGGAATATTGCTCGACATAAAGGGAAATTTGATTTTTGCATTGTTGAAATCATCCATCTTGTTATACAGTCGGCATACTTGTCTTGTGGAAATTGTTTGTCACTCTCAATCTCAATGTACAGATCTAGATTGAGATTGCTTGTCAGTATACATCATTTCTAATACCCTTTTAACCTCACCCTTTTTCGCGAACACCAGGTGTTATCTCTGATCTCAGTGATCCATTCTTATAATTTCCCATAGGTACTTGCCCTTTACGCCAAGTGGAATCTGTTTCGGCAGAAAATCTAGGATGTTTTTTCTCTTGCATTGACAATTTATATATAATATAGTTGGCTTGCGATGAACAGCAGTGAATTGTCTGTAGGCTACATTTTTATCACATTTGCTTTTCACCCAGACACCAGATTTTGGAGTTAATGGTCCATCCTCATATGCACATTTAAAAACGTGTGTCTTGCGATGTTTTCCCAGTCCGTGGGTGTCTTTTTAATGCACAACATGCACCTCACGTTGAACAGGAGTGTGTATCTGAGACTTCAGACTATATTATTACCATATGCTTTCTTCCATCCAGACGAAAGATTAACCAACTTCACTGTGGAGGTCCATACTTTTGACCCGATGACCAGCAGCAACACCGGCCTACAAGTCTGCTATTTGCATGAAGGCACGGTGGGCAGCGGTCTGACGGTAGACTTGACCTGCGCCGTCAACACCATTGGACGTTACGTCAGAATCGTCAAGTACAACTCCGGTTGGAAGCCTTTAACCTTGTGTGAAGTGGCGGTGAGGGGAGCCCCAATGCACAACACATGCGGAGGTAAGGGAGTTCAGGTGACCTTACACAATTGAGGGAAGTGGATTACCAACATTACAGCACCCCTGTCAAATTCTCTAGTTACTTCACTCCTCGAAAACAGATTCAACTATCTGTCTGTAAATTTGTGTTATGTCATCCCAGAGATGATGTTGCAGTCTTCAGTCTTTAGCCTTGTGTGAAGTAGTGGTGAAGGGAGCACCTTTCACATGCGGTGGTAAGAAATTCAAGTGACATCACATAGTTGCGAGAAGCGGATTCCCAGCATTACACAACCAAAATTCTCTGTTCAAGAAATGCAGTTATCCGTCTGTAACATGGTGTTAGTCTTTTAAGAGATGACTTTCTGTTGAAACCTCACGTAACACAAGCAATGTCTGTGAGGCCACGCACGCCTCGTAGAACGTGGTGCTGATAGGGATCTGTTGGAACTTTAGTTAGGGGCGGTCGGGTAGCCTAGCGGTTAAAGCGTTCGCTCGTCACGCCAAAGACCCGGGTTAGATTCCCGACATGAGTACAATGTGTGAAGCCCATTTCTGGTGTCCCCCGCCGTGATATTGCTGGAATATTGCTAAACGCGGCTTAAAATCATACTCACTCTCTCACTCGTACAACTTCGTACTGATAGGGATTTTGTTGGAACTTTAAGTTAAATCATCTAAAACAAAGTACGGAGGTAATGAAGTGCGAGTAAACGAGGTATCGCTGTACACGAACATCCGATTTAAAAGAGCTTGTCCGCAAAACAAGAAACGCTTATGTCACTGGAGTGTTGACAGCACATTGCCTGTAACACAAAACACACAATATGGAATGTGGCAATATTTATTTATTTTTAAAGTTTATATTTTAAACTGCACTCATACCTCTTATGATTTGCATCCCTTAATATGTTTCAGTGTCGCCTGTCGTGTTCACTAATCTCAGTACAGGAGCCAGGGAGCCTGACAACATCATTGCCAGTCATGAAAACATCGGGAAGCTCGACTGTGCCAACATGTGTCTCAGAAAGGCTTCTTGCAACGCCTTCAACTCAAGGTCTCCGTCAATGGGCGTGGTCAGCTGTGAGCTGCTGGCCGTGACCCTTGACCCTGTCACTAATCCACCATGGGTTGTATAAATGATCATTATGTAAAATAATGTGATAGAAAAAGCTATAGTCCTTGCCCAATTATGTTGAGCAGTGTTAAGTCAAAAACACTTTTAATACATCATGTGCACGTTTTTTTGTCTTTTCATTTCGTGCTGGTAATGAATGTAAGCTGCACACCCTGCTAAATATAGCCGCTCGCAGTCAGCTGACTCTCATTAAAATCAGATCTTAGTTCTCGCTACCGCTAAACAAAGATCGGAAGACATCCCATTAGGGGTCATGTCAGAACGACCTTTCATTCGACCAATCAGAGCGACGCTTACCAGATCATGAAAGTGACAGTGGGAATGTAATTTCTCATCATGCCTCGAAAACCTCGAAAACTTAAACACGGGGTAATCCGAACGATAGTTACGGGCTTAACGACTTAATCCATACAATCTAGACCGTCTATTAGCCATTCCAAAATGTTCTTTTGTTCAGGTTTCAATTTTTAATCGTGAATTTGTCAAAATATGTTTCGAAGATTGGCTAATGTCGACTTCTTGTTAGTCATTCCATTGGTCGGTCAAAGTTCGCGCAAGGTCGGTCTGACGTGACCCGTAATGGGTGTTTTCAGATCTTTGTTTAGCGGTAGCGAAAACTAAGATCTGATTTTAATGAGATTGCAAAAGTATGAAAGTCCCAGTGGAGGCCCGTGATAGAATACGTCCCTCCGTGATAGAATACGTCCCTCCTTGGTGCTAGTCCCCCGTTTAGACCTGGGTTAGAATAGGTCCCTCGCCCTTCATGATTGTCTCAGTGGAGGTCCCAGGGTGGAATACATCCCCGCATTCTATTGCTTGTCCCCTATGTTGACCTAGGTTAAAACAGGTCCAACGCACTCTATAGCAAAGAAGCGACCAATTTTTTTTTTTCGGCGATTGCGTGACCAGATGATGTGGATCATTGATCATTAGTATTTGTTTTCTGTCAAGTGTTTCAGACACATCCCGTCCCTACACGCCTGGAATATTGCACATTGCGGCGTTAACAGCATCTACTGCGTTAGCTATTTTCAAAATTCTGATAAAGCAGCTTATAAACAATTATTCACTTATTCACTCTCCGTGCATTTTATAGGAAGTCTTAATGTGAATCAAAATGGCGCTTTTGTATGCTTTCTTGGATTTTAAAATGGCTTTCGGTCACACCCACTTTTAAATAAGGGATGTTGTGGGGATATTTTGACGTTCTAAAAATATTTATTGACTTGTAAAGCATCATCTTCCCGAGGCAAAGGCGTTAACTGACTATTAAAGTCCAGTTTCCACCCTTGCCGAACTGGGTCGGAGTTCCAGAGTTACATTTTGGCTGGACTAAAGAGTCCATGCTTAGTTCAATCAAATCGCGTAACGAAATCAAAAACCGGTTCATAAACTGTCGTGCAGATTTCGGTCGATTGCATGGTTTACAAAGCATGTGCACAACCAACTCGTTGTCAACAAATATTTTCCAAATCTGTTCATGTTTTTAATCAAGGTGCTCTCGTGATTTGATGCACTTTGCGATGTAAGACCCGTTTTGTCACAATATAGATCTTGCTTATCGATAAGATCGTCTTGACTGGGCGTCGCCATTTTGTTTGAATCAAATGCAAGGGATACGAGAGGGAATCTGATTGGTCCGTAGGAGAGGCATAAAGGGACGAAACTCGCAATAACCACTGGTGGCGCTACGATCGAGCTCAGCAATTCCAACCTAGATCGGCAAGGGTGGAAACTGGACTTTTATAGTCAGTTAACTCACTTGCCTCGGGAAGATATGGTCAAGCATTTGCTTAGATTCAAGGTAACGAAGTACGCCGAGGATGTATTTGTAGCCCTTGTCTGTATTTACTTATTTCATAAATGAATTGTTGCGTTGTGGGACCTGTCTTCAATAATTATTTTTGTGAACTAATTATTTCTTGAAACCACAGAAACCAAACGCAGACGTCGTTTTCCTACCGAAAGTCATCACTTGTTTAAACATAACGGTCAGTCGGTTTCGAGTTAAACTCCAAGAATGGTTGTAGAAACCTGTCATATCACTGTGAGGAGCTTGCCTTTACCTCTGTCCAAGGGCAGACAATTTCAAATGTCTTTTCACTGCAAACCACCAGAATATAAATATGACACGTTTTTCTCTATGTGAAATTTACATTGAAGTTTAATACAAAATGTATTCCGTTTTGCTACGCTACAGAACTTGTGAGTGATCTGTTTTCATGCTGATGATGTTGTAATATTTTCTTATACTATTTTTGGCAATTAGGTTGTATCATCTTATTCTGATAAATTGGGATTCGAACCAAAATTTAGAGAATCTTTTTATTTCATGAATGGTGTCATCATATTACGTCATGAAACTTGGAATGTGTGCTGTATACTAAGTCTGAAGGAAATTGTTGTTCATGATTTCTTTTGGGTCAGCTCGACAAAAACACACCCGTCGCTTAACATTTTGCACGTGATTTTGAGAACCTCGTGACCTTCATGTATGTTGACATACCACCGTCAACAACTTAACATCAGTAGTCGACATATTTTCTCCAAAAAGTAGGGGATCCTGAAATATAGATGTTATGATCAGCTTGAAAAAGAACTAAAACCTAACGCCCCAACACACGTAAACAATTCCAGATGGACCTTGCAATTCCTCCGTGCACGAGGGTAGAGGCTCATTCTTGATTTCGACATTTCGGTTAAAGACCGTCAAATCGATCTGTTATGCCGCGCCATTTGCTTTGTTAGTGAGTGAGTGAGTGAGGTTCAACCCCGCTTTGAACAATATTCCTGTTATATCACGGCGTGTCAGCTTATTGTGTGAGGGAAGCCAGAAGTGATGCAGGTCTCAAATGTTTACCACTTTGGGCAAACCCATGGGCATGGGTATGGTGCTTGAAACATAATCGGGGCGAACTGGGATTCAAACCTACGAGGATAGGTTTCTGGCGTGCCCAAGGGACGCAACTCTTCACAACGAATTGCGGCGCCATGGACGACTGGGCGACCTTTGCCCCTATTCCTAAATGTGATATTTGATTGAAGATCATAGAGAGAGAGAGAGAGATTCTTTATTTCCTTCAGAGTAATCCGAAGATTATACATAATTTATCAAACGTATTGACACAAACTCATATTACCTGTACATATATACAATACAATACAGTAGCACCAGTGTCATGCCATTCACACAGTACAAAAGGTTAGATCAGATGACATAATCAAGGTAAGGCTTTAGTGCAAGTACATAAGCAGAAAATATCAGTATAACAGATTCCCATGTAACTATATCAATACATTGTGAGAAGTGAGTATCAGCACCAAAGAAAAATGACAACATATCTTCTTCATCTTGTAATTCCAACTGGACATAGGTTTCAACATCAAGCAGATCGATAAAAGTTGAAAACAGTTCATTCCTTTCCTGCAGTAGAGCTTCACAATGTAATATGATGTGATCATCATACTCAAAGGCATGCTTGTTACACAATAAACAGTCCCTGGAAGTTTTTTTTCGTGATGAAACTCTGACACAAAATTTTAAACTTGACCACTGTTCTAGGTACAGCTATGCTAGTTGCCATAATATATGGTGAGTAAACTTTGTGTGTATAAGTATGAAGCGTGAAAGACCTGTATTGATGGAAACCTTTCTGCGCAACATATTTTCTTCATATTCATGAATGGTTTTATTAACCAGTTGCTTCCAGTTTCTCTTTGTAGGAAAAACACCACAGCTTACATATGTACAAGGTTGTTTCGTAGGTTATACTTGTTAAGAACTGATGATAAATCTCCACATACAGATTTAGAATTAGTTGGGTTTGCAATGTATGCACAAAAAAGATGTTTAACAAAATTGTTACAGGTTAAGTTACATAAGCGGCCAAGCAGCTGAAATAACAATGCGTCACTGAAACTCAGCACACAGACCAAGCATGCCATGTTACTGGAGTGTCACAGTTTCAACACCTGAAGCAAATGGGCGCCTTTTGCTTTTCTCTTTGAATTACTCCAAGTCCCCTTCAATATACATATACAGGGTTAACAACGTGAGCATTGTTAAATCCAGGAACAACACATGAAAAGCAATTATATGACAGTACGATATAAAACAACATAAGAAAGCTACGCGATATACCACAAACAACAATGGAGAACGAAGCGTGGCTTATTTCACGATAAAACATTGTTCTGTCAGGACTTCATTTCCGGAGATTCGAATATGCGCTCACAACTTTGACGACGTTATTTTTTAGAGGGAAATGTCTGGTAAGTTGTTCCTCATAAATGTAGCAGGGCTACGCAGATAAACGCAGTGGCCGAACGACTGCACCCAAAAGCGAAAGAGATATGACAATCGGTAATAGGAGAAAAGGTACAGATAACCGACGGGAGGATTTTGAGAATATTTCGAAAAATGGGTTTGTCCGAGGTCGGATTCTATTCGATGTGTCATTATTATTATAGGTATTATTTATAGGTAAGGGTTTAAATGTCATATTACATGTCACCAATACAGGGTGCACGTGTGGCCCAGTCGTCTAAGGAACTGCAATTCGCCGTGCAGAGTTGCGTCCCTTGGGCACGACAGAAACCTATGATTGTGGGTTCGAATCCCGGTTTACCCCAATCATGTTACGAGGTTTGTCAGCACCATGCCCGTGCTCGTGGGTTTCACCGAAGTGGTAAACGTCTGAGACCTGCATCACTTCGGGCTTTCCTCCCACATCAAGCTGACACACAGTGATATAACTGCAATACTGTTCATAGCGGCGTTAAACCCATCTCACTCACTATCACTAATACACGTGACTCTTGTATGATTGTAGATCCCGCCCGCCCTGCTTGAACTCAAGTTTATCATTGTATATATCAGGACAAGCGCTTGAATCTGGTGTAGTACCAATCTGTGTGACGTCATATGTGATGAGATGTACAGTCATTTCTACCGGTGAACACTTTCATTTATCATCTACGGTACGGGGAAAATAGGAACAC